TTTGACTTGTCATTGTTAGATATTCGTCCTACTACGGCGGTGTCACCAGCGAACTTGTAGATGGCGTTCGTTCAGAATTTAACAACACAGTAGTGGGTGTACAGGGAGTACAGTAGAGGGCTGAGGATGCATCCTTAGCGGGGGGCTCCAGTGTTGAATGCTATTATGGAGGAGGTGCAGTTACCTATCTTCATTGATCACAGTCTGTGGGTCAGAAAGCTAAAGATCCAGTTGCAGAGGGCGGAGCCAGGACCTAGGTCAGAGTTTTGAGATCAATCTGGAGGGGATCGTGGTGTTGAAGGCGGAGCTATAGTCAAAGAGCAGGAGTCTGACATAAGTGCCCTTGTTGTCCAGATATTCCAGCCTTTGGCGGTTGCAGGGGAAGGTACCACGGGGCTGTGGGGGTCGTTGGGATTGAAGGAAAAGTGGATCAGGGTGTCCCGGAGGGAACATTCCATGCGGAAGGCAGACAGGGAAGTGGAGCGGAACATGTGTCTGGTAGAAGCGTAGACTGGGTGGCTGCTTTGCAGAACATCTACATTCTGTCCACAAAAAGACCCTGAGCTTCCAGTTGCCTTCCACTTTAACACACCACTCTGCTCCTTGGCCAACATCTCTCTCTCAGGCTTGCTGCAGTGTTCCAGCCAAGCTCAGTGCAAGCTGGAAGAACAACACCTCATCTTCTGCTTGGAGACCCTGCAGCCCTCCTGACTCAATATTGAGTCTAATAACTTTAGCACCTGAACTCTCCCATGTCCTAGCCCCCTACCCCACACACCAGGCCTTATCACATCACCTGCCATTACACACTAAAATACTGTTAGTCACTAACAGTCTCCATTAACAGCTATTTACCCTCCTAGCCACATCGTTATCAACTCCTTTGTCTGTCCAACTGTTCTCTTCTCTCTTTGGGCTCTATCCCCACCTATCGTTTACTCCTTACACCCGACCCCACCTTACTTTCTGCATATAAACCAAAATTTTCCTAGCTACTACCAGTTCTGATGAAGGGTCATTGAACACGAAACATTAACTCTGATTTCTCTTCACAGACGCTGCCAGACCTGCTAAGCTTTTCCAGCAATTTCTGCTTTTGTCCCTGATTTACAGCATCTGTAGTTCTTTTGGTTTTTAAAATCTAGAATGATTATTCAGTGCAGTCTGAGGGAGTGGTATCATCTCCAAATGAGACTTTACACTAAAAACTTATCTACTTTAAGATGGACAGAATAAAGTTCCATTCTAAGGTAGAAAGGGGTAAAACAAACGGGAGAATTCCCTGTTATTCTTTAGCTCATAGCATTATGTTTGGAATCATAAAAGACTCGAACAAACTAGATTCAAGTAACCATTTGTCCTTACAAGTTTTAAGTACAAACATTAATATTTTAATAATATTGAAAGAAAACAGCAAGTGTCGGGGAACTTTTGTTTACAACCTAAAGAACAGAAATAATGTGGAGCAGATTACCGGCATAAGAAACTGTCATGAGTTTCAAGCCTGAATTAGACGGGTTCAAACAACAAAGATTGATGGGTATTCAAAACAAACAAACAAATTCTGTGGAAAACTGGGCTGATGACTCCAACAGTTCTCTCCTGTCTGAAACTTTCAAATTCAAAACAACAGCAGATGTTTCATCCACCCTCTGGCCCAAACTTCATCCTTCAACCAACACCAAAATAATAACCAAAATAATAATAACAATAACTGGCCATTTATAAATTCACATCCTATTTGCAAGATCTTCTTGTGTGCAAAATGACTGCAACAATTGCCAATGCCTTATTTTTGAAACACAGTCACTATGATGACCAGAGGATGTAATTAGATGCTAGCTAGCAGCAAGGTTAATCTTTTAACAGTGTTGTAATCAGTTATTCAGAATAATTCAGATTCCCTCTGGCCACCATTCTATTCCTTCTTTATACCAATGGTCTCCTCTATTCACTAAACTCTTGCCCAACATCCATTTTTTATTGTTTCAGAGATAGTAGGAATTGCAGATGCTGGAGAATCTGAGATAACAAGGTGTAGAACTGGATGAACACAGCAGGCCAAGCAGCATCAGAGGAGCAGGAAAGCTCCTGCGTTTCGGGCCTAGACCCTTCTTCAGAAATGGGGGAGGGGGAAGGGGGTTCTGAAATAATTAGGGAGAGAGGGGGAGGCGGATAGAAGATGGATAGAGGAGAAGATAGGTGGAGAGGAGACAGACAGGTCAAAGAGGCGGGGATGGAGCCAGTAAAGGTGAGTGTAGGTGGGGAGTTAGGGAGGGGGATAAGTCAGTCGAGGGAGAACGGACAGGTCAAGGGGGCAGGATGAGGCTAGTAGGTAGGAGATGGGGGTGGGGCTTGAAGTGGGAGGTGGGGATAGGTGGGAGGAAGGACAGGTTAGGAAGGCGGGGACAAGCTGGGCTGGTTGTGGGATGCGGTAGGGTGAGGGGAGATTTTGAAGCTTGTGAAGTGCACATATATACCATTGGGCTGCAGGGTTCCCAAGCGGAATATGAGGTGCTGTACAGTATGTGTGGATACAGTATACCACATTAGCAGATGTTCCCATTGTGGCCTCCTCTACATCAGGGAAACCAAGCGGAGTTTTGGGGACCGCTTTGCGAAACACCTACGCTCGGTTCGCACTAAACAACTGCACCTCCCAGTCGCGAACCATTTCAACTCCCCCTCCCAATCCTTAGACGACATGTCCATCCTGGGCCTCCTGCAGTGCCACAACGATGCCACCCGAAGGTTGCAGGAACAGCACCTCATATTCTGCTTGGGATCCCTGCAGCCCAAAGGTATCAATGTGGATTTCACAAGCTTCAAAATCTCCCCTCCCCCTACCGCATCCCAAAACCAGCCCAGCTTGTCCCCGCCTCCCTAACCTGTCCTTCCTCCCACCTATCCCCACCTCCCACTTCAAGCCCCACCCCCATCTCCTACCTACTAGCCTCATCCTGCCCCCTTGACCTGTCCGTTCTCCCTCGACTGACCTATCCCCTCCCTAACTCCCCACCTACAATCACCTTTACTGGCTCCATCCCCGCCTCTTTGACCTGTCTGTCTCCTCTCCACCTATCTTCTCCTCTATCCACCTCCCCCTCTCTCCCTATTTATTTCAGAACCCCCTTCCCCCTCCCCCATTTCTGAAGAAGGGTCTAGGCCCGAAACATCAGCTTTCCTGCTCCTCTGATGCTGCTTGGCCTGCTGTGTTCATCCAGTTCTACACCTTGTTATCTCCATTTTTTATTTCTAGATTATATGCTGTCAGTGCATGAAATCTACAGTCCTCTCAGTAGATCAATAAGTTCACTAAAACAGATCTTCAAATTATTACTGATGATTAAAGTGGTGTTACAGGAATTAAAAAATAATCATTAAATAAAAACCGAAAGAAGTGCGGATGTAGCACATCAGAAACAAAAACAGGAATTTCTGGAAAAGCTCAGGTCTGGCTGCATCTGTGGAGAGAAATCAGAGTTAATGTTTTGCGTTGAGTGACCGTTCCTCAGAACTGTTATGTTAACCGTTAACCAAAACGTTAACTCTGATTTCTCTCCACAGATGTTGCCAGGCCTGCTGAGCTTTTCAAATAAATAATCATGCTGGTTTTCAAAATAGGCAGCAAATATATAATGCCTGTTTAACTCTCAGTCATCAAACTGGCACTCTACCCCATGATTACCTTCAAGTGTTATGATGTAGAAATAAAAATCTTTTTCAATTAACTTTTCTGTATGTTTTCAATCCTCGTCAACAGTATGACTGACATCTCAAACAGAATAATTAAGGGCAAAATTATCACCATTGCTGGCCCTACCATGAGATATGCAATTGATCACTATTATCAGAAGTGTTTCCAAGTGTCTAATTGCTGAGCCCCAAATATCCGCTCCTCCTGGAAACCTTCAATGCTACCAAGGTTAGTTCTGTCAGAAATTTGAAATCTGCACACATAACCTGTAATTATAAAGCAAAATCATTTTTGTTTATTAGGTGATTCCTCTTTAAACTTCAACTCTCATCTGTTCAACTTTCATTCAAAGCTCCAAATTCTCACTCCTTCATAAACACCAACATCAGTGCACACTTGTGAAACTGCTATTCTAAATCATTGTTTACTAGGGTGGGGATTCTTTCTCCTATCACAAGGATGTTCAGAAAGAGAGAATATAACACATCCACTTAAATTTACCAAGTGTGGTTAACATTTAAAGAGATACAAATTGTTCCTCAGATTCAATCTATAAACAGTATCTACAAATTGCCATCCAGGGCTACTACATCATCCCATGCGCTATGGATTAAATGAAATCAGTGACGTGAATTACCAGTAGCAAAATAAACTATCGGAAAAGTAAACATCAAATGCTGACAATGTCCTACACGTAAAGGTAAAGAAGCTATCATAACATTTTTCCTACAAAGAATGTTAATCCAGTTTCTTAATGCAAGTCATTACTGAGAATTCCTTCCTGCAATCTTGCAATTGTGTGCTATTCTGCCATGGACGTATTGCAAAATATCATCTGCACATTATGAAAGATGCTATTAGCTGCAAAGTCAACACAGAAGTGATATTTATATAGTGTTAGAGGTAGTTCCAATGCCAGTCCGTTGCTAGGCATTTTTTTAAAAATACAACTGCCTTAATAAAAGAGGGGCAACTAATCCAAGACCGAAGCCCAACAGCAGCACATTAAAAGCTAACGCTAAAAAGCTAACGCATTGCAAAGGCTCTGTAAAACTGCCGGGTCGCAGCATCATGTGTAACGCCCCATGTGTATCACCGTACTCAGCTGGGTTGCTAGGAGCAGGAGCTGGGCCCATCCCTCCCATTAGCCCCTGCCCGTACAGCCTGTGCCAACGGCGATGTCGGCCTACAGTGGAGTTGCAGCAAGTTTGCGGGGAAGCAACGCCAGGGCCCGAGACTTGTCGCTTCTACTTCGGGTACAAAGATGAGGCTCAGTACCCCGACCCCCATCAGCATCACCTACCTGCAGCCTCCCGCTCAAGTCAGCTTCTGGACAGCGGCCTGGGCACTGCTCGCAGCCAATAACCGCCGGCACACTCTTGACCAAACACAACGGAAGACCGCTGATTGACAGCCCCACCAGCCATCCACAAGGCCGTCTGTCCCCTCGCCGTTGGACGGCTGACCAATCAACGCAGGTCCACGAACAGGTTAGGTTGTCATCGAACAATGATGAGGTATTGTCGGACCAGCACGCATGCGCTCCCAATGCATCGTGGGGGCTGTAGTGCACACTGTCGCAGAAGTGCAGTGTGAAATTCCCAGATGTTTTCTAATCAATCTGTCCGGAGAAGATATTATTGCACGCCTCTGGAGTACATGGGACTTGAACCCAGATAGGAGCACGACCACTGTGCCAGAAGCGTCCGCAGGATAAAAACCCCCTTGGGAGGAGGAATTAGAAACTACTGAGGGAATTAGAATATCTAGGGTTCAAATTAAGTAGGACTTCAAAAGGCTCTATGGACCAGATTTATTGTGAATTGACAGATTAACGTAGTGGCAAGCAGACCGGAGTTATATGCATTGAGTATTGTGCAAGTTTCCTTTCAAGGGGCCCTGGCATCCATACTAGGCAGAAAGGGAATGGGATAAACTCGAATTAAACTGGACTAAGACCAGTGTCTTGGCAAGTCAAATGACTAGGGCTATAAACTAAAAATCTAGGAATGGAGTTCAATGAAGAAAAACTAAAAGTCCAAACAGAAAAAAACAAGACCATAGATCGGACAGTGTGACAGGAAGGGACGATTAAAGAATTTGATAGTAATTATCAGTGAATAAGGTCAAATCTGGAAGAAATAGTGAATTTATTTTTTTTTAAATAGACCATCAGAATGCTAGTTGGCTTGAGGACAATTAATGAATTTAATAGTAATTATCAGTGAATAAGGTCAAATCCCAAAAAAAAGTGAATTTCAATTTTAAAAATTTAGACCATCAGAATTGCTAGTTGGCTTGATAAATTAATGCAAAATAAAAAGAAAAACTCAACAATATAAAGACAAATAAAATAGAAAATAAAGGGGGATATCTTTGATAATATTAGCTAACATAAGAACAGTAGTGAGGAAGGATCGTGGCTCAGAAGATCAGGCAGTGGTTACATAGTGTTTAGCACTTCTGCCTGACAGTGTCAGAGACACAAGTTTGAGTCCAGCCTTGGATGACTGTGTGGAGTTTGCACATTCTCCCTGTGTCTGCTTGGGTTTCCACTGGGTGCCCTGGTTTCCTCTCACAGTCCAAATATGTGTATGTATGTAGATTTGCCATGCTAAATTACCCTAGTGTCCACGGATGTGCAGGATGTGCAGGTAAATGTGGGGTCACAGGGTTAGGGTGAGATGCTCTTTGGAAGGTTGGTGCAGACTCGGGTTTAAACGCCTCCATCTATACGGTAAGGATTCTATGATTCTATAATTCTAGTAGGATAACCCAGGCTAGAGGTAGGAAGAAACTAGGATAGAAAATACTGGTGGTGATTTTCTACAGAACCCCCAAGATGCTAACAATGGAGATAGCATTAATCATGCCATAATAAGAATTTACAACAAAACAATGCAATAATCATGGGTGACATTTAGCTTCACAGAGACTGAATGAATTAAATTGGCAAAAATAGCTTGCAAGATAAATTCATGATATGAATTTGAGATATTATTCTGAAAAGTCATGGAATCATGCAGGGTAAATGTTGGTTTGTATTTTAAAGAAACCGAAAGAACTGTGGATGGTGGAAATCAGAAACAAAACACAGAAATTGCTGAAAAAGCTCAGCACGTCTGGCAGCATCTGTGGAGAGAAATCAGAGTTGACATTTCGGGTACAGTGACCCTTCTTCAGACAGTTACGGCTCTGAGAAAGGATTACAAGTTTGAAATGTCAACTCTGATTTCTCTCCACAGATGCTGTCAGACCTGATGAGCTTTTTCAGCAATTTCTTTTTTTGATTTTGTTTACATTTTGTTTTGTATAATGAAGATGGTTAATTAATAACCTTATAACAGGGAATGATTTATGAAAGAGTTACCATAATACAATGAAATTTTACATTGTAGTTTAGAGTACTACATATAAATCTCAAAATAGTGCATTAAATGTAAATCAAGCCAAACACATGGATATGAGGAGAGGTTATTTAGATTGGAAAATTAGATTACAAGTCGTGGCAGACAATATAGAATGCTGAAAATTCAAAGAAATATTTAACAGTTTTCAACAAGTATGCAATCCATTGAGAAATAAAACCTTCAAGATAAAAGTGATCCATTCATGACTAATGAAAAAGGCTAAGGATAGTGTTAGATTAAAACAAAATCCTATAATATTACGAAGAGCAACAACAAGCCTGAGGACTAGGAAAGGTGTAGAAACTCGCAAAGAATAAACAAAGCTTGTTGAAATGGGCAAACAAGTATGATTGTAAATCAGGCAATATGTTAAAAAAAATTATGAGCTTCTACACTTGTATATAAAAAGAAAAGAGTAGCAAACATAAACAAAGGTTCCCTAAAGGCTAAGACAGAAGTCTAACACCAAATAAGGAAATGGCAAAGACGTTCACGGAATATTTTGTGTAGTCTTCAGTGGAAAATGCAAGAATTATATAAGAACTAGTGGGGAACAAGGATCTAATGTAAGCAAGGAGCTTAAATTGATTAATAATAGTAAAGAGATAGTGCTGAAGAAATTCAAAGGAGTAAAATCCCCTGGACATAATGAACTTTACCCTTGGATTCCATAAGAGGTAACTGCATTGGTATGGTCTTCCAAATTTCCCTCAATTCTAGTTTTGCCTCAGCAGATTGGAAGGTAGCAGGTACAATATGGCTATTCAAGAAGAGAACGTATAAGGAATTACAGGCTCTACAATTCTTGCTGGCGTACATCTCCAACTTTCCATGATCAGTTGAGCTCCACAACCTTGTTATTATGAGGGCCAGACATTGCCACCAGAGGCCCCCTTATAACATTGCCGCAGGGCAACTGGGTTTCAGATGAACACAAGATTTTTGGCTGGGGGAGCAGGGAATATATTTTTTGCTGAACACTAACCCCTAAATTTCACTCTACAGAACACACTATACCAATACATAAGCTGATGGCTACAGCTGTTAGATCAAGTAATGATGCTCCAGGTGGTCTGGTGCGTACAAACTTACAAACTAAGAACAAAAGCAGACCATTTGGTCTCACCTGCTCTACCATTCAATAAGACCATGGCTAATCTTTTTTATGAGCTACATGTTCCCATTTACCCCCAATAGCCTCTGATTCCCTCATCTAACAAACTATCCATCTCCACCTTGAAATTTTTCAATGATCCTTCTCTCACTGCCTTCTGAGGCAGCGTTCCAAAGTTGCACAGAGGAAAAAAAATGTCTCCTCATATCTTTAGTCTTTGCATCCTTTCAATCAGACATTGACCTACTTATGTAAGTCCAACCATACAATCTTCTATCCCAATGTGCTGATATGTTACTCCAGGCCATAAGCAACTATTTTGTGCAATAATCTTTCAGAAGGTACTTGTCAAATGCCTCTATACATTGAAGTACATGTGCCCTGCTTTGGAAAGATGTTCAACTTGAAAGGTTCAGAAAAGATTTACAAGGATGTTGCCAGGGTTGGAAGGTTTGAGCTATAGGGAGATGCTGAATAGACTGGGGCTATTTTCCCTGGTGCGTCGGAGGCTGAGGGGTGACCGTTTAGAAGTTTATAAAATCATGATGGGCATGGATGGGGTGAATAGCCAAGGTCTTTTTCCCAGGGTAGAGGAATCCAAAACTAGAGGGCATAGGTTTAAGTTGAGGGGAGGGGAAGACTTAAAAGGGACCTGAGGGATAACTTTTTCATGCAGAGCGTGGTGCGTATATGGAATGAGTTGCCAGAGGAGGTGGTGGAGGCTGATACAATTACAACATTGAAAAGGCATCTGGATTGGTATGTGAATAGGAAGGTCTAGAGTGATATGGACCAAATGCTGGAAAATGGGATGAGATCAGTTTAGGATATCTGGTCGGCACAGATAGGTTGGACAGAAGGGTCTATTTCACTGCTGTATGGCTCTATGACTCTATGCGCCTTTATCCACAGCATGTTACCTCCTCAAAGACCTCCAATAAATTGGTTAGACGTGATTTCCCCTTTGCAAAACCATGCCAACTCTTCCTGATTACCTTTGGTTTTTCAAATGTCCTGCTATATCTCTTTAATGATTGATTCTAACTCTGACACTGTGAGAAACATTGAGTTGGCCTGTAGTCTCCTGTTTGCTGCCTCCTTCTGTTCTTGAATAGAAGAGCTATATTTGCTACTTTCCAGGTTGATAGTACCTTTCCAGAATCCAATAAATTTTGTAAAATTCACCCCAACACATCTAGACCCCTTTTCTAAGACCATAGGATGAAGTCCATCAGGACCCCTGGGCCTCCCAGCCTGTAGCTCCATTGGTTTGTTCGTTATTCCTTACCTGATATTGTAATTTCAGCAAGTACCTTGTTCCCTTCCACCGGTTGATTTACAGCTATTACTTGAATGTTCTTTACATCTTCTGTAATGATGACAGAGCAAAATATTTGTTCAGTTCATCTGTAATTTCCTTATTATGTACGATTAACTGCTTATTTTCATTCTCTTGAGGACCAACACTCACTTTGTTTTACTTTTTTATTTTAAATACCTATAAAAACTCTTAATATTCATCTTTACATCTCTAGCTGATTTCCTTTCATCGTCAAATTTCTTTCCCTTCCTGATTAATATTTTATATATTCTCTGCCATTCTCTCCTATTTTGTCCAATCATCTGAACTGCAACCCATCCTCGCACAACTTGATTTTTTTTTGAAGTTTAATGCATTTCTTAATTTTTTAGTTCACAAGGACTGGTGGACCCTTCCTTTAGAATTTTTCGTTATGCTGGAGTATTATTATTCTGAGTGTTTTGAAATATTCCCTTCAACGTCTACCAATGCTTCTCTATTGATCTGTCTTCTAGCCTAGTATCCCAGTTCATTTTAGCTAGCTCAGCTATCATGCCCAGATTGTTGCTCTTATTTAAGTTTAAGATATTAGTTTTAGAGCCATTCTCCTCCCTTTCAAGCAGGGTGTAAAATTCAATCTTATTGTGGTTACTGCTA